TTAAATAAGAAAATTTCTTGGGTAAAATGGGATCATGTATGTCAAGCTAAGGTAAAAGGGGGTCTTGGGGTGCCTGATTTACAAAGAAAAAACTGGGCAATGTTAGGAAAATGGTGGTATAGGTTAGGCGACGGGGTCGAGAGCTTATGGAAAAGGGTGGTGAGGGAGAAATATTATGGTGGTAGGAGGGAGGTCGATATTACCTCGGTTGAGTGTTTCAAGATGTCTAAGATTTGGAGGGACATTATTAGGATAGGAGGCCTATCCCTCAATCTTAGAAATATGTTGGTGGAGGGTTTCAAGTGGGAGGTGGGGGAAGGAAATAGAGTGGTGTTTTGGGCGGATAGGTGGATGGGTGTAAAAAGCCTTAGAGACTTATTTCCTAGGTTATTTGCACTAGCTGTTAAGAAGGAAGGAAAGGTGTCCGAAATGGGGTCTTGGGAAGAGGGGAGATGGCATTGGCGACTGGAGTGGAGGAGGGGTACATTAGGGCGTGAGAAAGATGAGGAGGAGCTGTTGGGAAAGATGCTGGAGGGTGTCAATTTAAAGGAGGGGGCAGGGGATGTTTGGAAGTGGATGCATGGGTTAGATGGTAAATATGGGGTGAAGCTAGCGTATGACTTCTTAGCTTCTTCGGAGAGAGTCTTGGAGGACCAGTTATGCAAATTAATAGGGTGCAGATTGGTGCCATCCAAAGTGGCTTTTTTTGGGTGGCGTTTGTGTTTAGATAGACTCCCAACAAAGGAAAATTTACAAAAACGCGGGATATTGCTACAGGAGGGGGCTCTTTGTGAATTTTGTAATGGGAAGGAGGAGAAAGTTAACCATTTATTTTGTTTATGTTATAATGCATGGTTAGCTTGGACTTAGGTGTTAAGTTGGTGGGGTTTGGAATCTGTTTTGCCTAACACTGTAGGAGGCATGGCAGAGTTTTTCATTGGTAGTTTGGGAAGTATAATTGGAAAGGAGATGGGTTCTTGTATTTTCCTAGTGGTAGCCTGGTACTTATGGTATAGACGGAATATCCAAGTGTTTCGAAAAGATGAAGGATTACCAGAAAACCTACTGGAAAGAATGCAAGTTAAAACATTTATATGGATCAAATCCAAAGTTAATGGCTGTGTTTTCTCCTTTTTCGAATGGCAATCTTGTCCAATGGAGTGTGCTATGGCTGTCAAAAAGCATAAAAAGCTGAGGAAGCAGTTCTATAAAGCTCGAATGCCCTCTGGTTGAGATAGGCGGGGTTGCTCTATTTTCAATTGGGGAGTACTTGGCCTCCTGACGTTTTATGTATGTGTTTTGTAAACCTTGTCAATCTTTGGTTTTTAGGTCCCTGGCTCTCCTCTGTTATGAGCTCCTTTTTTTGTATATGGGCAGAAGCACCCCTTGTGCTTCATTAAATTAAATTACCTTTTCTTTGGCTGATCAAAAAAAAAAATCATAAGACCTCATCTAAACAACCATAAAAATTGAATAGTTTGAGCAAATTGACACATAAATGTATCAAACCAGATACAAAGTCATCCACTATC